TGCCTTTACGAAAGTCACGGGGGGCGCCTTTGCCTCGTTACAGGGAGTGGGCATCAGGATCCTCAACTATCCCCAGCATGGCCCACTTGCGAGAACAGTTGTGTGATCACAGGGACCTAGTGCTCCGGCACTCTGCCAGTTGGGGCTTCAGGTCAACTGGGAAAGGAGCAAGCTCTTCCTTGCACAGAGAATCTCTTTTTCCAGCCGCTCGGATTGCTACATATGAGACCACTTCAGCACTGGTTACACTCCAGAGTCCCGAGGTGGGCATGGCACCGCGGTACAGTTCGCGTGACCGTCACACCAACGTGTTGCCACTCATTCAGCCCCTGGACGGACCTTGTCTTTTTACAGGCCGGGGTGCCCTTAGAATAAGTGTCTCTGCATGTCGTTGTCACGACGGATGCCTCCAGTACGGGCTGGGGCACTACAAGCAACGGCAGGCAGCCTCGGGGCTCTGGACCGGGCCCCGACTGCTTTGGCACATCAATTGCCTAGAGCTGTTGGCAGTGCATCTGGCCAAGCACGTGTTGGTCCACACGGACAACACTGCGGCGGTTTCGTACATCAACCGACAGGGAGGTCTATGATCACGTCGCATGTCACAGCTCTTTGTCTGCTACGGAGGTCAGCAGAAAGGGAAGGCTGTCTCCAAGCAGAGGTTGGCCCACTGGATAGTGGATGCCATCGCCTTGGCGTACCAATCCCAAGGAGTGCCGTGCCCCCTGGGGGTGAGGGCTCACTCCACACGGATTGTTGCCTCCTCCTATGCGCTGGCACACGACGCCTCTCTGGCAGAAATCTGTAGAGCTGTGGGCTGGGTGACATCGAACACCTTCACGAGATTCTACAGTCTCAGCGTTGAGCCAGGTTCTTCCCGTGTGTTGGGTAACAGGTAATCGGCGGGAAGAGCTGGCCGGGGGCAAGCTTGCTGCGCCATTCCCCCTCCTCTGGCAGAAATCTGTAGAGCTGTGGGCTGGGTGACATCGAACACCTTCACGAGATTCTACAGTCTCAGCGTTGAGCCAGGTTCTTCCCGTGTGTTGGGTAACAGGTAATCGGCGGGAAGAGCTGGCCGGTGTCACGCTTGTTGCGCCATTCCCCCTCACCCGGGGATGCGAGCGCCTTTTTCCTCCTTCAGTAAGTTCCCCGGACGGCGAAACCTGGCGGAGTATCCTCCAGCACCACCCGGCAGTCAGACTGGGCAGAGCAGCCGGTCAGCCCCTGTACTGGGCTAGGTGTCCATATGGCTTGATTCCCTGTGGGCAATCCCATATGTGTATTCTTCCACGGTAAGGTTTCCCTCTCGATAAACCCGTGTCTTCCCTTTGACAGAGTGTTCTGTCAGTCTCTGCTGGCAGTTGTTCCATCCTTACTCTCAGGTAGGACCTGCCTCAGAGACCCATTCCATGTGTAGTACTGCCCCAGA